ACAGCTACTGTGGGATCATCTGGTTGAAATGAGAGGTAGAGCTGGGTGTCATCAGCATAGCAATGGTAAGAGAAACCATGTGCCTGTATGATGGGTCCCAGTGATGTGGTGTAAATGGAGAAGAGGAGCGGTCCAAGAACTGAACCCTGGGGAACCCCTGTGGTCAGTTGATGTGCTTTGGATACCTCACCTCTCCATGTGACCCTGAAGGACCTACCTGTGAGATAGGACTCAAACCAGTAGAGAGGAGTACCTGTGATGCCCAGTGATGAGAGGGTGGACAGAAGGATCTGATGGTTCACAGTGTCGAAGGCAGCAGACAGGTCCAGGAGAATGAGAACTGATGATTTGGAAGCAGCTTTTGCGATCCGCAGGGCTTCGGTGACCGACAGCAGTGCCGTCTCGGTTGAATGCCCTTTCTTGAAGCCAGATTGGTTGACATCCAATCATGTTGTTTTTTTAAGCAGTGGAGTTACCCGAGCCTGCTTAAATGCTGTAGGGAAAATGCCAGTGTGGAAGGATGAGTTGATGATGTGTGTGAGAGCTGGAAGAAGTGTGGGAGAGATTGCTTGTAGAAGGTGTGAGGGGATGGGGTCTAGAGGGCAGGTGGTAGGATGACTAGAGAGGAGAAGTTTAGATACTTCTTCCTCGGTTAGTGGAGTGAAGGAGGAGAGAAGGTTGTTGGCTGTGGGAGAGGTTAGTCTGGGTTCCTGTGTGTGTGAAGCTGAGAACTGACTGCTGATAGTTGTAGTTTTGTTAGTGAAGAAGTTAGCAAAATCATCAGCAGTTAGCGAGGAGGTGGGTGGTGGTGGAGGTGGACAGAGGAGAGAGTTGAATGTCTTGAACAGTGAACGTGTGTTAGAGGCGCTGTTGATCTTGTTGTGGAAATATGAAGATTTTACGGTGTGAACATCAGCAGAAAAGGCAGAGAGCAGAGATTGATACCTACTTCTGTCATGATTCTGCCATCATGTCTCTGTTTTCTCTGGTCTTGTGGCAGGATCATGGCAGACCCATGTTTTATGTACAAGCGCATGGTCTGTTATTTGGACCATGTGCTTGTGTTGTCTCGTCTCGTAACCCCGCCCCCTTGTTATCCTCGTCTTGTGATTAGTGTCTAGTCAGTTTCACCTGTCCTCGTCATTAGTGTTCCCTATTTAATCCCTGTGTATTTGCTGTCCTGTGCGATTCATTATCATACGTTGTGTGATTCTAGCTGTGAGTATCTTATAGAAAGTCTTGTCTAAAGAAGTGTTTTGTTCCTGTCATAGTTGTTATTTTCCGTCTGAGTATTTATCTTTGTCAAGTTGATCCTGTCTTGTTTTGCCCCATCGTGGGTTTTGTTTTCTGTTTTTGTCTTTAATAAACCCCTGTTTAAGTTATTTGCTGTCTGCAATTGGGTTAATCTGCTATCCACATAACAACTGAGGTCAGATGTGTCTTTTGATTTGTGCCATTTCCTCTCCGCTGCCCTGAGTTCGGTCCGGTGTTCACGAAGAACCTCAGATAACCAGGGGTTGGAGGGAGTAGCGCGTGCTGGCCTGGAGGAGAGAGGGCAGATGTTGTCTAAAGAAAAGCTTAGAATGGAGCATAAAGTATCCATTGCAGTATTCACATCCAGAGATGAGAAATGCAAGGGTGAGGGAAGAGAAGATGACACAGCAGAGGAAAGATGGGACGGAGAAAGTGAGCGCAGGTTTCGTCTGAAAGTAACTGGTAGGGGAGTGGGTGGTGCATGGGTAGTGAGTTGTAGATTGAAAGTAATGAGGAAATGGTCTGAAACGTTGAGAGGTTTCACCAAAATATTGTCAGTGATGCGGTTGCATGTGTAAACCAGGTCCAGTTGGTTGCCTGACTTGTGAGTACCTGTGGTGATAAGCCGTTGGAGATCGAAAGAGGCTAGGGGAGAGATGAAGTCTGTTGCATACGGCTTCTCTAGATGAATGTTGAAGTCGCCAAAGACTACAAGTGGGATGCCATCCTCAGGGAAAGAGGAAAGCAGCACATCCAGCTCCTCTACAAAGCTTCCCAGTTGACCTGGGGGGCGATATATGACTACAATATGGATCTTAATGGGAGTTGTAAGTGTAATAGCATGATATTCAAATGAGTAGTTATTGCATAGAGCAACATGACATCATGACTTTGCGTAAACATACACGCCACTTTCAATTCAAGTGGCGTGTTATCTATACGCATTTTGAGCTATCCGCGTGTATGTCCACGCCGAAATCTTTTGCGTGTATGTCTACGCCATTAAACGTCCGAGTGATTCCGCGTGTATGTGTACGCCGTTAAATGTCCGAGCGAAACGAAGCAAAATCTATATTCTACATCTGTGGAGCGATATTTCTTTTCCTAGGATGGTAGGAGAAGACTCATAAATGGTATTAACCCCAGTGACGGGTAGGTTTAGGGACGGGGTTGGGGTAGGTCATATATTTATATGTACATAATACAGTAATATAACGTTAAGTCAAAGGCGTTGATAAACACGCTGAAAAGCGATTATGCGTGTTGATAGCACGCCAAAAATGGAAATACGAATTGGCGTGTCATACATACGCCATTTCATGAGATCAGTCTGCATAGAGAAGAGAGAGTTGAGTATTTCCAATTGTTAGAAATGAGAAGACCAGTACCCCCACCCCTCCCCGACTGGCGAGGGGTGTGAGAGAAAGAGAAGTTGTTAGAGAGAGCAGCAGGGGTTGCTGAGTCTTCTGGACGGATCCAGGTCTCAGTCAAGCCCAATATATTAAGAGTAGAATGAGATGCAAAGGCTGGAATGAAGTCAGCTTTATTGACTGCTGATTGACATTTCCATAGACCCATAGAAAGAGTGAGAGGTGAGTGTGAGGATGAGAGAATAGGGCGCAGATTAGCAGTATTGCGCTGCCTTCTGTGCATGATGAGAGAGCGTTGTTGAGAGACAACAGGAATGTATTGAAAGCACATGTTGATTAAGGGAAATAAAAAAAAGGTGGGAAGATACTTAAGTGCCTTGCAGTTGTCCTTGCTCGGTGGAGTCGCGCAGATAGAGTCGCAGGTCTTTACCCGAGTCGGTCTTCACACGAGGAGGCTGAACATGAGAGCTGAACGCTTCCGCTGACGCTTCCGCCACAGCGCGCACACTACATAGATATAAAGCTTTCAATCACAAAAATGTCCCAATTGAAACCCATTAAAACTACCATTTTTAATCCCAGTGCCATTTAACAATAAAATGATGCAATCTTTTTAAAGAAGCTTTTATTCTGTTGGCAAGACTTTAAAATTTAAATTTTTACTTTTTTTTTTACCAGATGGTGCCATTTTTTTCAGGTTTGGCCTATAAAGCAAATTCTGGCTTTATTCCTGATTTCTGCTTCTGCATATTATAGTCAATTGGATAAATTATGCAGCGATAATTGTGTGGGTGTGTTGGTATGTCAGAGTTTGGTTTGTATGTGTGTAATAAAACATGTGTGTTTGCTTGTAATATTTGAGAGAGAAAAAAAACTCTAAATCCCCAAAAAATCTCAAATAATTGTAATAAAATGTTCATAAACTTAAACCTATGTAATTGTTTTTGTACTTCAACAATAATCTGCCAGGGTCTTCTTTAAAACGAGACCAAACTTAAGTCTGTGGCCCCAAGCTTCAAATTTGAATGACAGTTTTTTGACATGGACATATTTGTAACTTTTTTTAATTGATGCACAAGGGTTAAGCTTTCCGCAGCCCTAGTCTATATGCCTTAATGCATTGAGGTGCTGCCATGTGATTGGCTGATTAGATATTTGTGTCAACTAGCAGTTGAACGTGTACCTATAAAGTGGCTAGTGAGTGTATAAGATAACATGTTATTTTTTAAATTAAATAATTGCCTTTTATATTGTCGTATATATTGTCGTTATATTGACTCAAGTCAAACTATTAAAATATTGTCTTTGTTATAATAATTACTTTGTATTAACTTATCTTGTTTTTTTTTCTACCCATTATTAAAGTTATATGTATAAAACTAAACAGAATATCCTTTTTAATTTGGGGTGTGTGTGTGTGTGTGTGTGTGTGGCACTTTGCACAATAAATATCCAGTAATCTAATATAAAAATATTCCAAAGAGTTTTTAAAATAATGAAAACAGAGCATGCTAGATAAATACTTCACTTGTTACATTACTGCATGAATCTCTTGAATGAATGATTCAATGACAAATAGGCATACATGGTTTTAACAGTCGCCACCTACTGGTGTATCGATGTAATTGATAGAATCTTTATTTGAAGCATCACATTACTTTCATAGGGTGATTTCCTCTATTTTGTTCGCTACCGTACACCAGTGTTTACATCCCAATAATAAACTTTTATCTCAGTACTTCTGTCATAATTTCAATTATTGTAACACAGAAATAATGGTACAGTGTGGTTGAAAAGAATAAGATTGTGTGTGGGTGTTTGAACCGAGATTGCAATCTATTAACAAACAATTGTGCTGGACTCTAACATAACGCCGCAAATAAAGAGAGATGAAGACTTATTTTTTTCCAAAAAAATTATGCAAATTACTTATATTAAAACTATAGGGCTATCAATAGAATAAAATAATTGTAAATGTGTATAATCAACATCTTTGTGTGTGTGTGTGTGTGTGTGTGTGTGTGTGTGTGTGTGTGTATCCCTGGTAACACAAAGAGCTTTCTCACAAAGTAACAAAAACAAGGATGTGTGTGTGTGTGTGTTTTGTTTTCACTCAATTTGTTTGTGGACCCCCTAGCAAACCCTTGTGGCACCAGTTTGAAGCAATCACTGATCATCTCACATAAATTATTATTTATACTTAAGGTTCTCAAAGGCACTGATCTTACAAATTTTATGTTCATATAAACACCATCAAAGTAACAATAAAATACCTCTCATTACACTCATTACAAAGCCACTCCATCAGCACTCTTTCACCCAAAGGTCTTTGATACCTGCAGTCCGAAAACTTAAAAGTGCATCTGTTTTACCTACATTCTGAAAGGTGATCCTCTAGTCTTTCTTTGTGTCTCTCTACCGACCCAACACCCCATGGGCCTCTACTTCCTGACAAAGGTCCTTCTCAATATCCTGAAAAGAGAGGAGAGGGTAGAGAAGGGTATGAGTAAGTGAGAGAGAAAGAGAATTCAAGAGAGAGAAGGAAAGGAAAGGAGAGAGATGGCGTGCCAGGTAGTGCTTACAAAAAGAGAGGAGGCCATTTAGATCACAGGCAACAGGAATGAGGGGAGGCAAGACGTCTGCACCCGTATAATCAACATCCTAACTCCCTACAAACATGCACACATCACAACAGTGGTGCTAGTTTTATGCAGCAACACTGACGCTACGTTGCTGTTTTCAGTCCACATATTCATGAGAAAACCACAAGCGTGACTGACTCTGTCTGTTCTGTAACATAAAGCCCCTAAACTACTTTGGGATGGATATGGAACAAGAACTTAATCCAGTCCTATTACAAAAAATCTGCCTAATAAAGTGAAAAAGAATAAGAAACTTCCAGGAAACAGAAATGAAAATATGTATTTAGATTGTCGCTAGGGGGCAGCACTTTCATTCAATGACTTTTGACTTGCCAACCGGAGACCAGCATCAAATGTGATGAAGAAAAACACACAGGGCACAAAAATCAACTGTTGCTTTGTTCATTTCATCAAGGTGATCAATAGTTACTATTGGTGCATTCAAGTCCTCCTGGGAAGTTCGTATTTAGAAGGTGGGAAGTCCTGTTTACGACAGCAGGTGCGTTCTAGTCACTTTCGTCGGAAGATGTCGGTGTAGACTTTCTCTTAATTAATTACACAAAAATACAGCAATTAAGGTTCTTAAACTCTTTATCTAGAAAATGAAGAACAAAGAAATGTGCATCAGGTGTGCTATGCTTTTTTATGTTTTTAATTAATTTATGAAGCCACGTTGCAAAACGTTATCGTTACATATTATATTGTTGTATTATAATGCCATCATATTCTGTGCAGGCAATTAGCTTATTTTGCTGTAAATAGAAAAGCCTGACAATATCACTGCTAAATACCTTTAAGTATTGTGGTATTCCACCATGTTTCTCACCGTCACGCCCCCAACTCGTAAAGAAAATTTCGAGCTTCCCACTCGTTACGACATTGTGGTGGCGTTCATGTGCGTTAAACTCATAAATACAATCTTTACGAGAACACACCATATGTCTATTTGTGTAGGCTACTGTATGAGTTCTAAAGCTTAGGTAAAAATAAAATATATTGTACTTCAATCTCTACCACTTACTTAGTGGCTCTTTCCCATTGTATGTGAGTTATGCACAAAGAAATAGCCTATAGTTCTTTATAAGCAACTTACAAGCAGGGTAATTCTGAAAACACTGTAATGGAACTTAAGTGACAGTATGAACACGCAATTTTGTGTTTAATCCTGTCATAATTTCCTGAGATGTAAATAGTTACTGATTTACAGTAGGTACAAATGTAAAATAAATAAATAAAAGGATTTAGTGGTCGACCGATATATCGGACGATATTCTGTAATTTTTTTAAAGTCCCCGTGAACCGGAAGTTGCAAACGACTTTTCTCCAGTGTTGTGACGTATTTCCGAGAGAAACGGAATACTAAATGAGGCAAAATGGTGGGCGTGGCTTTTTTCCCAACTAGCACCTGATTGGATCTAGAAAAGTAGGTGTTTTCATTCAGCCTGTCTACTGTCAGTTGGAGGGGCGTGATTACGGATGTTAAGAAGACGCCCAAACCGTGAAACCTACGTCATCAGGCAAGGTCCTCCAACGCAGAGGGGAGGGGAAATTTCAGATTTTGATTAAAGATTACGAAGCCAAAAAAAATGTTTTGTGTGGATTGACTTGCATGGATGAATTGTTCACCACAAAACGATCAATTTAGGCAAACAAAGTAAGTATGGTCAATTTTGAATTCATGGGGACTTTAATAAGTTTCTCATTGGCCATGTGTTAGAAGCGGGACTTTTATTTTGAAGGGCGACACTGAGAACGCTCACATTGTCCGTATTCATTTAAACTTATCGGGCTCGGTTTAACAGTCATATCTAATATGTTATTAGATAGAACTGTTAAACAAAGAAAGTAACAGGTATGCGAAAATAACATTATCCGTCTTCATTAGTTTAAAGGGGTCATATAATGCCAAGTTAATTTGATTCTTTAGGGTCTAAATGGAAAGTTTGTAATATACTTTAATTAAAAATTATCATTAGTATTGTAAGAAAACACTAATTTTACCTGGTCAAAAACAGCTCTGTTTTCAGCACGCCATTTCAGTGCACATGCCAAAATGATAATGAGCTTCGCTCACTCCGCCCCTCTGTTCTACAGGCGTTTTGACACACACAAAGCACGTGGAGTGTTGCCTTGACAACTTGAAGGTATATTTTGGAGAAAGAATGGCAGTGGGAGTCTCTGAGGACACATCTGTGCAATCGTATCAGTTTGAACCGGAGTCGGACCTGGAACAAGATGACTGCCATAAAGAAGTTCGACAATTAAGGCTCGAACAGGACGTTTCTGAATGGTTGGTTAACACTTTGTCACTTTGATCTATCTTTGTATGTAGTGGCAGGGTAACGTTAGAGTAACTTAGTGAGATGTACGAACGCTATGTGTTTGTATACGTACTCAGTTTGTAATAATACAATAACCATAACAACACAATAACCATAATGCGTTGTTCATTATAAACGTGAGATTATGAATTATATTGAGAACGTCATAACGTTACATAGAAAACATGCCGTAATGTACCCTGAGTGTAAACCTTAGCCGCATTCATCGTGAAGCGTGCAAGCGATTTGCAAAGATTAATATAAAGGTTAATAACATTTAACACTCACTTCTTCTGGAGGTGCAGCAGGGACATGAATAGTACCGATTCTTTTTTCAGGAGCAGCTTCTTAGCAAAACCAGCTTTATGCTGATCCTCGTTTATAAAACAGTCTGGTGAGAAAAGATTCGCGAATCGCGCAAACATGAAAGCATTGACGTTGCTCGTGGGGAATATTCCCTTCGAAAACAAAACTCAGCCACTGTGTCTTCAGCGGTTCGGATTTAGGAACATCAAAATTACTGCTGTGTTCGTTATTACACCCAAGAACAGAATACCACAATCGCTTAGGCCGTGTGTCCACCAAAGCATTTTTAGCCAGCTGAAAACGATAGACGCTCTACTGAAAATGCCTTGCTTTGGGCGCTTGAGAGCGTTTTGGCAGCACAGCGTTTTTTCAATTGAGACGTTTCGTTGCTATGATACAGAATATCCGCAGCACAGTTTACTTGTAACAGATTTCGCAGATAATTTGTTTCATACTAAAAGTTTATTTTTCATGCGGTGCACACCATTGACGTCCTCGCGCGCACGCTGCGGTCAAATAGTTCAACTTTTGCCGCTGCGTTCTGCGACGATTACCAGCGCGGCCAATAGAAACGGGACATCCAAACAAGCACGGAAATCAAAATGGATGAACGGCAAGTACTGTGTGTCGGAATTTCCTGAGCTGTACCATACAAGTTTGAGGTCGTATAGGGACAAATAACTAACGTTATTATACTGACGTATAGATCTCCCGCTTTAAGTTTTTGAAAACTCCGCCTATTTTGCTCTGACATAGCCAGCGGCCAGCGCCGCGCATTCCGCGTCCTGTGTGAAAGGCCCATTAGACGCCATTCTGCTCCAGCGTATCAACAATGACGGACTATGATGACAGCTCGCTCAGGGCGAGGAATATACGTTCTTTGGCGGGGATGTGTTGAAACGCTGCTGTCAATCAACAATCGTGGGAGGGGCGTCATTCCGTGTGACGCCACGCCACGCGGTCGAACGGCTCGATTTGAGACTGGGAAAAACATATAAGGAGATTAAAACAAAAACACTGGATGGATTTTTATCATATGTTGGTTGTGTACAGGCACTGCCAACACACATTTCAGTACAATCAACTTGAAAAAGTGCATACCATTATATGACCCCTTTAAAATTCACGGTCTCTGTTTAACAGTCACATATCTAGGCTGATATGTTTTTAGATAGAACTGTTAAAGGAGCTGTATGTAAGAAATGTTTTTCAATTAATCATAAAATGGCCCTGGTGTGTTTCTAGACATTAAGAAATCATGTTAATTTCAAATACTTATATCACTGACAACAGTAGTACGGCCACGATATTGTCATTTAAAAAGTGAAGTTGCAGCCCTCAACTGATGTTGATGTTGTCATCTTGTGTTTTGGCCTGAAGCCCCACCCTCCACCCAGTGGCGGTTCTAGCCCATTTCAACTGGGGGGGCCAAGCTGGGGCCAGTTGTACTGTTAGAGGGGCCAGTTACATTTAGACCTTATTGTTGTCATATCATTTTCTGCACTGCTGCAGGCATTAACAGGCAAAATACCGTGTTTATAATCATTCAACAATGTATTTGCATTTCCATTTTATTTTTACATTTGCATTACATATTCAGTATTAGTCACAGTAACTGTAATAGACATGATGTCCTTCTTTCTCTTCATTTTGAGAACTATAGAGCAAAAGCAATGGGGACCAAGAAGCTTATTAATTCATTTACTGAAAATAACTGACTTGATATGTCTAACCGTTTACAGGGTTCCTGCACACTTTTTAAAGTCAAATTTAAGGCTTTTTAAGACCTAAAGAAATCAAAATTAATACCGTACATTAGGGGTGTGCAATATTGACAAAAATATATTTCAATATTTTCAACATTTTGTTAATAATTAGATAATATTTTACTGATTGTGTTTTTGTGCTGGTGCCATGGCTGGTTTAGGCCTGTTGTTGACAGCTGACTCACGAAGATATTAATATTTTTCATATTCTATGCAGTGGTCAGTTCACAGCAGTGACAGAAATACATTTTTTAATTAAGAGGCAATATTTGCCACCTTAAATTGATTTCCAGGGGCATTTTCACCTATATATGGACATTTTTTCTAAACTTATTTAGAGTTATGCATCACCTTTTATGTCAAATACTAACATTCAAATTATACAGTAATTATACTTATTTATACAATAATACTTAATTATGCAATAATTATACAGTAC